AGTTTGGTGAGTGTTGTGAAGAAGAAGGTAAAGTGGTTTCAGAGTTTATTTAGATAGAGGAGAGACGGTTGGGGTTGTTTTTGACTTTTTAAAAAGTAATGAGGTTTACTTGGTAAGGTGGGTGAACTATATAGACTAAAGTAGTTTAAAGTGAAAAAGAAAGGGGTCCAAATTAGATAATAAAGAAGTTCACACATCTTTTGCAAATTTGAGTAAAAAAGAAAAAGGATATAATATAACACATGGAGATGTCCCATTAATCACGGTGTGTGAAATTAATGGAGCATGATCTCTATCTATTTGTTCCATTTCACTATATTTTTATTTTCAATTTTAAACCTATATATATCAACAAATTTGTTTTGAAACGAAATAAATATACCGTTTCGTTCAAAAAAATAAATTAAAATCCACCGTCTTTTTTATATTATCTTCGTATTAATCTAAGTAAGACTTTTTAGTTTGCATTAAGATGGATTAACTAACTAAATAATTGGTATTATCTTTGTAGTTTGGTCAACTAACGATAACAAAAACAAAACTACTATGAAAATGAAAATCCACCTTCTGTAGTCAACTAATATTTTTTCTGTATTAATTCGTGAGTTACATTGATGTTGTTATTGTTTTATTACTTAAAGTCAATGAACACAAATCCATTTTGTATGATTATCCTCATTCCTTAGTTTGGCAATTTGAAATTAGAAGGAAGATAAGTTATTATTGAGCTTTTAAGAGATTATTATACGAGCCAATATTATCAAATGCTATGATTACAAACATTGGCACTAGTGGACAGCGGGTGACGCCTCTGTTGTGTTGTCCTTGTGGCGTCTCGAGTTGTGAGGTATCGACTTTGTTGATCTCTTTGATTTGTCTTTGGTTCTTGCGGTGTTGAGCTATTGATTTGGTACAGCTTCCGGTGGAGGCTAAGTTACTATCTCTCTGGACTCTACAATTACCGTATTTCGGGGTTAGTTGGTTGGTTTATGACCAGTTGTAGAGTTGTGTCTCCTCTTGTGATTGCTGCGTTAGGTTAGTATGCGGGTTAGTGTGTAGGTCGTGTGCCTTGCCTTAGGCCTTAGAGGAGCTAGTAAGTCCATTGGTGTTCGGAGCAGTTATTCATCGTTTATTTAGCTTTGTACTAGCCAACGTTTTTGGTAGGAAAACTTGCACCGTGCATTTTGTGGAGTTGAGGTTTCTTCTCGGAAGTAGCTCATGGAGTTGTTCTTCTAGTCGCTCTCACGCGGCGCAAGAGGAGTCGGTGATCGAGGTTGTTGAAAACATTTCGCCGTTGACAACCCTTGTTTGAACCTCTCTTGAAAGGCTTCTTTGGTTTTGGTTCTTCGGTGTGCGGTCATTGTGTTAGCCTAGGACTTTCTAAGCTCCAATCTAATCTTGGTCGAACACTCTACATCGTCATCATTTCGTTTAGCTCCATAAGCCTCGTGTTTCTGTTGAGTTACGGACTAAAAAATTTGTATGCATATGTTTCCATGTTTTTAAAATTTTTTTGCCGTGGAATACATTGTATAGGAATACAATCTCGATTGTAACCCTGAACCGATTCATTTATGAAATATTTATCTTTTAGTAAAAAAAGAAAAAATATTGGCACTAGTGTAGTGGATGCAATCAAAATCAGAATATTGTATATACATATCTACATTTTGTAGTCTTAGAATAATTTTATATACAAATTATTATAGAGATAAATAAAAGACACGAGTGGGAATCATCACGGGCATGAGCATGTGGAATATAACGTCATGTTCATATATACACTAGAAGCCACTACCTTTCATTTCACTTATATTTTCGGTTTGGCCATATTATGTTTTAAGTTTATTGGGTAATCCGTTGATAACCCATGAATTTGCACCATAATTACCATTGCTTGGAAGTAGTCATTACTTACATTGTGCTTATACTAATGATATTATACACCATTTAATAGAGTAATCCAAGACTAATTAGAAGTGATTTAGAAGATTGGCTTAAATAATAGAGGTAAAGTCGTTGGATCAACCTATAATTTAATTAATACTGTTAAACTGTTTTAAAAGGAAAGAAAAAATCTCTCTACTTTTTCTTCAACTAAGCAAACACATTTGATCAATTATACCAAAAAAATCAAATGAGAGCAAAGGAAATTTCGCAGTTATATATTAAAACAGAAGGTAACGCATCAGTTCCAACATAATCAACCAACAAAACCCAAAACACAAATTAAAGATAAAGAGTAGTAGAA